TTTTTTTTTTTTTGGTGGAACCGGGGATTGAACTCAGGCCCTCCGCTTGCCAGGCAAGCGCTTATTCTACTGAGCCATCTCCCCGGCCCTTCTGTTTTTCTGAGACAGGATTTACTATGCTGTCCAGGCTGGCTTCTAACTCATGGCGTCCTGCTGCCTTAGCCCCCCGAGTGCTGGAACTGCCAGTGTGTGCCGCTGCACCCAGACAGTCTTCACTTCTGACACGGGTAGGGAGTCCCACTGCCACCACCTCACACTTCCACCAACTGAGCTGGTCAGTCCGAGAATGCTGTGGGAAGAGAGTGGCTGGCATGGAACATTACTCACCTGGCAAGGTGTACATGGGGAGCACAGAGCCACCTGGCCGGGGAGAACATGGGGCTGACACTAGAGCCGAAGAGGAAACAGCTCTGCTGAGCCCGTGATCTCGGGCCTTTCCTGTAAGTACCCAATGTGCAGGATCTCGTCACAGCTCCCTAGCAACCTACGACAACCTGCCACATGAGCATGAAGCTACAGTTGTTACAGTGACGGTCCATCAGCAGAAGAGGAGCAGAGAGAGCTTCGATCCTTTAGGTCCTTCATAAATGACCAAGGCAGTCCCACATGTCAGTGAGGAAGAACAGGCTAGCCTGTGGTGACTTGCTACCTGCCAAAGAAATGAAACTGGGTCTCTAGGTAAGCCCACATGCAAGGCCTAGCTTCAGTGGCACTGAGGGTCAGCCACCTGAGGGCCGGCCAAAGGCTCAGCAGACTCAAGCGCCTGCTTCGCCTGCTTCGGCAGATGCAGGGGCTGGGGCTTCCTCTCCTGGCCTGCTGTGCTGGCCCCGCCCCCGGGGCACACTGAGGTGGCCATTGAGACTGGGCGTGGTGGAGCACACCTGTAATCCCAGCACTTGGGAGGCTGTAAACAGGAGGATCACTATGAGTCCGATCTTCATAGTGAGACCCTGAACACTCTGTCCTAAATACAAACAAACAAACAAACAAACAAACAAACAAAAAAAGTCCACCACCTGGATGGGGTACGGCTCAGGGGTACAGCACCTGCCCAACACAAACTGTGGGCTCAACCCCAGCAGTGCAATTTGAAAAGTGAAAATATAAACCTTTACCCCTGCATACACAAGGTAAAACTAACACAGAACATGACACCTGGGCACGAGGAAAGCAACTGAAACAAAACCCCAGGCTGTAGACCATATCTGAAAAATCAACACAACTGGCCAAACAAAGATGAGGATCTGAGGTTACTAGAGGACGGACTGGGAGAAGACACAACCCACAAGCCTGTAAGTGGCTGGAATTTAAGACTATCTGTGGAATCACTTTTACCACAAGGACAACAGGAAACTCAGAAGATAAATGAATAAACATAGGAGCACACAAATCACAAAGAGGGCCACTGATGAAGAAGGGCTTCACTACCCAGCCTGAGGAGAACACGGAGGCCTGTGGGAGCTCTCCCCAGCCTCTGGGCACAGATCTCCAAGCTACCTGGCCCTGGAGGAAGAAGCAAAGGAGAGCAGCAGGTGACAGATGCAGCGTGGGGAGGCCCGGGTTCTGGTGGGGCGCTGGGAAGTTCGGCTGGAGCCACCTGTGTCCGTGCAGGTGCAGAAGACTGAAACAGAAGGGCCAGTGCTCACAAGCACCCAGGACTGAGCCCTGCTCAGGAAACAGAAAGTGTGGCGCTGGGGGGGGGGGGCAGAGCAAGGAACCCAAGGGGTGGTGCCAGGGTGCCATCTGTGTAAAATCAGGACTCTATGGAATCAGAATGAACATGTTTCAGAAGGCCAATTACAAACTGAAAGACAAAGGCCAGCCAAATAGCTCAGTGGATTAAAGCACCTGCAAGCAGGCGCAAGGGCCAGGGGTTCAATCCCTGGGCCCACCATGCTGCCCCCCCCCCAGGGTGCACTGAGACAGCAATTGAGACTGGGCATGGTGGCGTGCGCCTGTAATCCCAGCTCTTGGGAGGCTGTAAACAGATGAATCACTATAGTCAGATCTAGTAGTGAGACTCTGAACACCCTGAACACCCTTCCCTAAAAATATAAAAAAAGCCCCAAACAAACAAAAAACAAACTGAAAGACAAACTTTCTGGATTGCCAGTTACTCTGATCTGATATTATACATGGCATAACTAGAGTGAAAGCCACACTACAGCCACAAATATGTTCAATCATTGCCAACAAAAAAATTAAAAAACATGTATTCAAAAAGAAAAAGTGGGCTGGGGAGATAGCTCAGCGGTCTAAGTGCCTGTTTCGCAAGTGCGAGGACCTGGGTTCAGTCCCTGGCACTGCATGCCATGCTGGCCCTGTGCCAAGCTGGCCACCGAAACCAGGTATGGTAGTGTACCAGTGGTGGGAAGGCTGAGACAGGAGGATTACTATGAGTCTGAGCTGCGCAGCGACAGCCTGTACCAAATAAATAAATAAAATTAAAACAAAACAAAACAAAACAAAACACAAAAACCCAAACAAACAAAAAGCAAAGTTTAAAATGTTGGTCTCCAACGAAAGATAGATGGTGGAAGGGAGCTAATGCAAGGCACTGTTGATAGGTTCTGGCCCCAGTATAAATTGCCAAAATCATGATGGCGGTCATCCAGTATGGCTGAAGCCCTTAAAACAACAGCTCATCTTCCCAAGACCACCTCCCCTGTTCTTCTCCAACCCAGCCCAGGGTGCAGTCTCCTGTCACCCTTCCCGCCACCTCAGGGGAGGCCCGTCAGCTCCTCAGGTCTATCTAAACATCCCCCCAAGCCCCTCCCCGCCCCCCAAAGGCCATAAGAGCCTCAGCCTCCCTTTGTTCCAATCCAGAGAATCCCTTATCTTCCCAAATTCTCTCCGTGTCCTCAAAGAAAATAAAGCCCCTTTCCCTTTTTTCTTCTGCCCGTTTCTCTGCTGCGCCAGTTAACTGAAAAAGCCTATCAACCGTTATCTCCATTCTGTGCGAGGCTCTGATGGACTCGGCCTGAGAGGAAGAGCGCGCAGTCCACGGGAGCAGGGCTATCCGGGACGCTGGGCCTCAAAGCTAGCACCACACATTACGAGACCAGCAGAACACACCTTCCAGGTCCTCCAAGCCCCACTGAGTAGGCAAGAGCAGAACGCAGGCCCGTGTTTGCCAGGCAGGCTCTGGGCCGCTGAGTTATCTCCCCAGCCTCTGTGCTAGCTCTCAACCACAGCACTGCAGCTTCTCAGCACCACCTCACCAGCGCAGTGCCACACACTATCTTGGTACTCACCTCATCTTGGGAATGTCACGCTGTACTCAGAACTGTCCCATTATCTTCGTGCTATCACACTATCTAGGGAGCACTAGCTATTCTCTTAGTACTGTCACATTACTTTTTTCTTTTTTGTGGAACCAGGGACTGAACTCAGGACCTTGTGCTTGCCAGGCAGGCACTTAACTCCACTAAGCCATCTTCCTGGCCCGTCACATTACTTCTGACACACATTATAACCTGTCCATAGGCATGAACTATGTCTGCTTTAGCAAGATAATACGAAACAACTTTAAAAAATCGTTGAGGACATTGAATGGTGCTTTTCTGAGCAACTTCTGAGAAGATTTGTAATGTTTCAGATGCTATTTTTCAAACTGAGTCTCTCTAAGCTCATTCCCCTGACCACTCTGAAATGACACAGGACAGACAAACAGCCAGCCGTGTGGCTTCCAACTCAGCCAGACTAGCTTCGTGGCAAAGTGTGGCGAGACAGCACTGAACGCCACCCTTAATCCTTCTCACTCCCGTCACTCACGGAAACAGAAGCAAGCAGGCGGCGAAGGCAGAGCTCAGGTGCAGATTCAGAAGTTGGGCAGCCTAGCTCCTGACTGTGCCCCCGCGCTGTGCCTCAGGGGAAACCGAGCTGGTCCAGGCCTGCCGCTCCACCCCCCATTCTCAGCTACTGATGCCAGGGTCAACAGAAAAAAGGCAACTACACATGTGGGCTCAGGACTAGGTGACTCCTCCGGCACGAGGCCAACAGGAAGCCAGAGGTGGCTCATGGAAAGCTGTGGTACACTAGGCTGCAACATGGCACGCAGCCCAGCCCCACCTGGACTTTGTGGAACATCTGTAGATTGATCGCTTTGACCTCTTCCAGCTGTTGGCGCAGCGCAACAAGCGTGTCCTGCTTCTCGTGGGTATCCTTTTCCAGTAACTTCATGGCGATTTCCATTTCAGTTTTCATTCCGATTTGTAATTCCAGTTCTTTTTCTAGTTCCTGCAGAGCACATTTGAGAGGAACGTGCTATTAAAGTGGGTTCTGATCTGTGTTAACCTGGTCTCACAGCCTGGGCTCTGACTGGAGGTCATGTGGCGCTGGGGGCAGGTCTGGGAGGCTGAGCAGTCGCAGCCTCCCTGGAGTGAGTTTGCCCTTCATGGCGGCAGGCACAGGGACACCAGCCCTGCGCCACGTCAGCATCGGGTGTGGGAGTGCAAGCCTAAGTGATGTGCCTGGCCCTGCCCAGCTCGGCCCCTCCCGTGCTCGGTCCTGTTCAGAGCAGCGAGGACCACCGTTCCGGACTGGCTCTCTGTCCCCAGTGACGCAGGACACAAGCCCTGGACGCAGCACAGGAAGAGGGCAGACCTGGACGCTGCACGTAGGAACCTGGGCTGCTGACCCAGACTGCAGAAAGGAACAGGCTAGCGCAGGCACTGAGAGCAGCGTGCTGCAGAAACACTCAGTGTCCCAGCGGCTTTGAGAAAGGTTCACAGAATGAGAACGCGAGTGGGTGACAATGCAGCCCAGACTGTCAAGGGGCCGCTTCCGCTGGCTGGGCTGCAGCTCGCGTGCTCAGGGGGCTGCGAGGACCCCCCCGGACGCACCAGCCGCACTTTCTTCTCCTCCTTCAGTTGCTTCCACACATTGCTGTACATCTCGTCCAGGCCCTGCCGGCTCTGTCTGTAGGTCTCCAGCTCGACTCTGGTGTCCTGTTTGGTTATCTGTGTAAGACAAGAATGCCAGGAGCAATATGGCCCCTCCAGACAGCAAACTAGCTACACCACAACACTGAAAAGGATGCAACACTTCTAAAAAGGTATGATGAGGGGCCGGGGAGATGGCTCAGTGGAATGAGCACTTGCCTGGCAAGTGCAGGGGCCTGAGTTCAATCCCCAGTTCTGCAAAAAAAAAAAAAAAAGAAAAGTATGACTCCTATCTTTCAAGCATAATAGGGGAAGTTTAAGATTTTATTATTTAATGTAGCTGGTACAGGGCTACAGGGTCTCACTGCACAGCCTGGACGTGCAATGATCCTCCTGTCTCAGCCTCCCCAGTGCTGGAATTATAGGCGTGTGCCACACGCCTGGTCTCAGTGGCTATCAGAGTGCCAAGGAGTGGGGCCTGCATTGCCAGAGATGGAACGTCGGTCCCCACGCTTGCCTAAACTGACGCTTAATCTGCTGAGCTCTCGCCGACCTTAAGACTTTTTTATATTAAGATTTTAAGGAGACTGTAAGTTGGATGTGAAGGTCACGTGCAAGCCAGCTTATTTTTAGTTTTTGAGACAGGGTCTCACTACGCAGTTCAGACTGGCCTCAAGCTTAGGGTGAGCCTCCACCTGCCTACCTCAGCCTCCTGAGTGCTGGGATTACAGGTGTGTACCACTGTGCTGTGCAAGTCAACCGTGTTTTGGGTACCAGGCATCAAGCTGAGGACCCTGCACTTGCCAGGAGGGCGCTGTGCCGCTGAGCCAAATCGTTGGCCCGCGTCAGTAGATTTTTTTGAAAGAAAAAGATTTGTGTAGCAATTTAATTTTCTTTAAAACAGGACAATAGTTTCTATCAGAAAACACTCACCCAACCCTCCTGCCAGTGCTCAGACCCTGCTTGTGCCTAGCACTGAGTGTGTGTGACTCAAGACTGCCTCCAGTCCTCAGGAGTCTACCACGGCCCTCTAAGCCCCTGGGTGACGGCCGCTCTGGAGACCCACACCGTACCAAGACCCAGTGCCTGGAGACACCCGAAGTGACCGTCTCCCGGAACACGGGCAGCCCTCCTCACCACTCTAAGTGACGGCCCGAGACGGTCCACACAGTGTCTGCGCTGCACTCCTAGTGGAGGGCAGACTGAGGTGACCCGGGTACCTTGGGGGACGCCTCCTGCCCCCTGGGGCCATACCACACAGCACAACTGCGGGGCAGGCAGGCAACGGAAGGGGTAGCCCTGCGCTCTCACCTCCACCCGCTTCTCACTCCGCTCCCGAATCAACTCGTTTTGTGTTCGTAACTGCTGCTGTTCTTCCTGAAGTGAACAAATCCGGTCTGTGGCAGCTGAAAGCTGATAAAGGAAGGTTTTCATATTACTCAACATCAAAATTCTTGCCATTCAAATTAAATACAAACTCCCTACATTGTGAGGATTTACGGTGTAACTTTACATGTCTGATAAGTGTTTCCTTATTTTGGATAAACTGTATACACTAAAATTTCTCTCCAAAAAAAAAAAAAAAAAAGCGGGAGGCCAGGGAGATGGCTCAGTGGAGTAAGCGCTTCCCTGGTAAGCGCAAGGGCCTGAGCTCAATCCCCGGTTCTGCCAAATAAAACCCCCCAAAACAAAAAAAACCCGTCTCTCCCATCAACGCTGCCACCTGCCATCTCTGCTCTCCCTAGAATCTCTTCCATTTACAAAAGCAGTAGTTACTACTTCATATATGCAGTGACTTAGGGACACAGAAAGGTTAGAAACACCCAGGCATGATAGTCAACCCCTGCAGCCCAGTGCTCAGGAGCCTGGGGCAGGAGGACGGCCTTGGGTTTGAAGACAGCTTGGGTCTCATAGTAAGTTCAAGGCCAGCTTGAACTACGTAGTGAGACCTTGTCTCAAAAGAAGAAAAACTAAAACCCAAAACTAAAAACTGCCTGAATGCCCATCATTAGAGAAATGGTCCCACAGATTCTAATGGAAGCAAAAAATAGAAACATAATTACACAAATGTTTACAAAAAATTTGGTAAGGGCTGGAGAGATGGCTCAGTGGTCTAAAGCACCTACTTGAAACAAGCTTGGCAAAGCACAGGGACCGCGGTTCGATCCCCCAGCACCACATGCCAGCCAGCCCCGCCCCCTGGTGGGCTGAGCTGGCCACACACACACAATAAATAAATGTAATAAATAAAAATAAATAAATAATTAAAAAAAAATTTGGTAAACAATATCCATAGGGGGAAAAAGCAGGTGATCCGCTATGTGCTCATCTATAATCTCGCTCTCTCTCTCTCTCCCTCTCTCTCCCCCCTTCCTTTCTTTCATGTATTTGTTTGTTAGTCTCACTAGGCAGCTGACTGGTGGTGCTCCTCCTGCTCTCAGCCTCCCCAGCACTGGGATCACAGGTGTGCGCCACTGCACCCAGGACTCTGGCAGGCTCAGCCTACTCTGGGGTGGGGCTGGTGCAGCATGTGGTGCCGGGATCGAACCACAGTCCCTGTGCTTGCCTAAGCAGGTGCTTTAGTCTGCTGAGCTATCTTGCTGGCCCTCATTTATAATTTTTTCCCCATCTGTTATTCTTTAGTTTTTGGATGAGAATTATTTTTATCACTAGCGAGAATGAAAGGCCCTGGGAAGGAGAACAGAACACTGATCACCAGAGGCGGGCCGAGCGGTATGCGCTATCACGGTGCCTGAGGGACAGCACAGAGCAGCTTGGGCACTCGCGCACTCGGGGGCCTGTCCACTAAGTGGCCACTGTGTGTGGCCTGGGGACGCCCTGTCTTCGGCCTCAGAACATGGCCTGCAGAGACAAGGGGAGGCTGGAGAGGAGCAAGACAATGCCCTCTGCCTCAGGGCTGGCCAGCTCTTGGCTCATCCCCTGTGGACAGAGGGACCTGGAGCCACTCAAGGCCTCTCCCTGTGGCAACAGTTCCTAAACCATCAGAATGGCCTTGTGCTCACACCAGAACCACTTAGGGTTCTAAGCAGCTGCCTGAAAGGCGGTGCTAACTGTCCAAAGGGAAGAAGCAGGCCAAGTGCTCACAGACTGCCCGCTGCTCTCCTGAAGACTCAGGAAGGAGGCCAAGCGAGGAGGAGCACTTGCTCTGAGCACTTCTCTCACAATCACTAGCCTAAAGAAAACCCACAGGGAAGCTAGACCTACAGTCAAAGCGGGCTATCTGGCCCCAGCAAAGAGAGAGAGTAATCAGCCACTGCCCCCAGTGCCCACTCAGGGGCCAGGCACCTGACTGCATTTCACAACACCATGAAGCGTGTGTTACCAGCCACCTTGGTGGCAAATACCCGCCTCCCTACCAAGGTGAACATGAACCCTGGCAGGCTAAGTTCCAGGATGCCTCTCTCTGGTGAGTCCCTCACCTCTGGAAACTGCCTCTGAATCTTCTACCACAAACCTCAGCTGCTGCCCTGGAAGCCACCCATCGGGAGAGAAGCCAGTATTAAGTGTGGCCTTCAGTGGGCCTGTTGTCACATTAAGTGTGCTTTTGATTGACCTCTCAGGCTGTCTCTCACCTCCACGCAATGGAGTGATCCTTCCTGAGCCCCCCCAAAGCTCTTGTCCTTCATAATGAAAGTAGCAGAGGGCTTGAGCAGCCAGGGACCACTGCCTGCGGAAAGCCCCAGAGGCTGAGTGACCCCTTCAACTAACAGCAAACAGACCATGTTCCCCAAGCTGACTGCCAGGCGGCTGGGAGCAAGCTGTCTTCCTCGGCTTCGACCCTCCTCCTTCCAGGCCTCACTCTTCCTGCTGAGAGAGCATGCTGCGGGACTGGTCTGTGCTCCTGAGCAGCCTGAACACAAGGGCAGGTGGGTGCCTTGCCACAGAGCCTGGTTCAGGGTGGCAGAGGCGTGGAGCACTGCCAGGAAAGCAGCAAGAGAAAGCAGCCGCATACGCACCAGGGCTGGACGGTGCCAGCAAGCAGCAGCTCTGAGGTGACAGAACCTGTCCCCGAGACAGGCTCCTGCCCGCTACAGCATCTCACCCCGCAGCTGGCCGAGGCCACCGAGTCACCTTCCAGGTAGCCAACAGCTCCAGTGACATCACCAACTACACCATTGCCTTACCCTTGGAGCCTTTGGTTTTGCTTAACAATTTCAATTTACAAACCTCTTCTTGAAGCTTTGAGTTCATTTTTTCCAAGCCATCTATCTTGGTCTGAAGATCCCCAACTGTGCAGCTACAGAAAACATAAATATTAGGCAAACTTGGACTTATAAAAGCTGTTTCCATAGCCAGTGAACAATGAGAGGAGGGATTCCTATATTTCTGGTATGAAACAGCAAAGCAACGACACACAGTTAACTCAGAGTAGATAAGAACTTTAAATACATGTATACATGTATTTTGCTCAGTTTACAATAAATTTGATCCCTAAAATATGTTAGTCAATCCCATTTTAGCCAATTTGAAAGAAAACATTTTCCCTTCAATCCCACAGATGAGAGCCAAACTGCGTTGGGAATCATGCAACTCAGCAGCATTCCGAACAAGATACTGGTTTATACAGCAGACTCGAAGGCGCTGTCTTGGAGGTTACTGATACCACTCAGGAACCCACGACGAGTGTGGTCATCGCACGCACGGAATGTGTGGCCGCACACGGCTCCTCTTTTCTCCTTCCCATCTCCATTCTTTCCTTCCCCACCCTGTTCAAAGCTCACACTGAGGTGATCTTTTTTTAAATTCTCTTTGTATTTCAGCTTTGAAATACTCCTTAAAAGTGCTTTTATATTGAAATGTAAAGAACTGGTGTAATAAATCAAGAACAGGGAGACCAAAGACTTCACAAACACGCCCTGTGCTGATGCAGGCCTCACTTCACGGATCACATGCCCACTTTAGGTGCTGGCTCGGGCTGGAAGACAGCTCGCTGGCGTGAGTGCCACCTGGCAAGTGCAAGGCCCCGAGTGCACACGCTGCGCCGGCCCCACCACCACGGAGGCTCGTCTGCCGCAGGCAGCAGACCCTCAAGCTCACGTTTTCACAGACGAAGAAACCCTTACTCAGGCTCATGCAGCTCCCTCCCATCGGTCTTTTTGGTTTTTGAGATAGTCTCTGCAATTCAGGCTGGCCTTGAACTTGCTGCAACTCTCCTGCCTCAGCCTTCCAACTGCTGGGATTATAGGCGTACACCATCATACCCAGCCTTTCTTTTTTTTTTTAATTTTTATTTATTTGTTTATTTTGTGTGTGGCCAGCTCAGCCCACCAGGGGGCGGGGCTGGCTGGCATGTGGTGCTGGGGACTGAACCGCGGTCCCTGTGCTTTGCTTAGCTTAGCTTGTTCTAAGTAGGTGCTTTAGACCACTGAGCCATCTCACCAGCCCCCGCAGCCTTTCTTTTGTAGTACTGGGATTAAACGCCACACTTCAAGCATTCTGAGCAGCTGGGGCACCACTGAACCTCACTCCCAGCCTCTTCTTTAGGTTGTTTTTGGGACACAGGGCCTCACTGTGCAGTTGGACTGGCCTTAAGCTCACTGTGTAGTTAGTTTATCCTGGTCTCCAATTCATGGCCACCGCCCCAACTCAGGTGTCTGAGTGCTGGGATTAGAGGCATGTGCCACCATGCCTGGCATCCTCTTCAGTCTTTAAACTTTAAATTTTTATTTCATCTCCTCCCCCATTTTAAATTCTTTTCTGTTCATGTATTTGTGAAGGGTTGCGAGCATTCCAACCCAACACCTTGGCCCCAGGGCCTGTAACTCAGGCAACATATCAGACAGTCCCTTTGCCTGTAGGAAATGAACCAGGAGAGCCAACGAATTAAGGCTCAGGAACTAGGTGGGAGAAAACCACAAGCAAAATGGAAAAGGGGGAAAAAAACTCCCCAAAGATGTGGAAGGAAGAAAATATTTTAAGAGCATCCAATTATCAACTTAGCATCAACTATATAGCTTAGAAAATATCACTAATTTACTTTAATATTTTATGTTAAAAGCGGCAACAGGGCTGGTCGGATAGGTCAGCAGACTAAGTGCCTGGCTAGGCAAGCACAAGGATTGGGGTTCAATCCCTGGCACCACAGCTGCACTGGCCACCAAGTCTGGACATGGCGGTGCACGCCTGTAATCCCAGTGCCCGGGAAGCTGAAAACAGGAAGATCACTAAGAGTCTAAGGTGTGTAGTGAGACCCTGTACTAAATACATTAAAAAAAAAAAAGCAGAAATAATATTTTTCCTGTAAAAGTTGTAAACTACTATCAGGAAAAGACAGGTCCTCAGGAAGTGGAAACCTGGGTGAACAAGCAATTAAGGAAAACCCAAAGTGCTAGGCAGGCAGCCCCTTCCACATGAGCTTCACTTCCAGAGTGCAGAATGCCGAGGACCTGCAGGCAGCTCTGGCCCCAGGAAAGGCAAGGGCTGGCCGGAGGCTAGCCTGTCTCTGTGATGCAGCGTGGCCCACCATGACTATGCCCATGAGTGCACATCACTTCACCAGATGGCGGAGAAGTCCCGCTGGCCTTGGTGATGCAGAGAGGCGTCTTGCAGGACTCAGTAATTGCTCTTCACAAAATTCACAGCCTCCATCACAGTTAAGGTGAGACTCGGTGTGGTGTTTTCCTACACTTGCTTTTTTTTTTGCTGTTTTTTGAAACAGGGTCTCATTGTGAGATCCAAGCTGACCTTGAACTCACTATGCAGCCCAGGCTGGCTTCTGACTCATGCAGCCACCCACCCCCTCGCCTGAGGGCGGGGTTACAAGCCTGCACCACCACGTCCAGCCCTCCTAAAGCGGACTGGGAAAAACATGCCAGCTTGTTTGCTTTGCTGGCTTGTGGGGTCACAAAGCCTTCCCAGGGGAGCTAATGTGCAACACACTAATTAACATACTTCCTAGAAGGGGCTTCAGAGAGGGAACAATGTGCCTTCCAAAATCACTGGGCCAGGAATCCACCCGTTTCCCTACCTAAACCTCCAAGGGACACATCACTGGCTTTCTAGCTTAAAATAAAAAGAAAGAAAGAGAAGAAAACCAAAATGCATTTGCCTCTGTTCATGACCACACGGATCTGGAAGAGCCAGCCAGACTTTCTCGGTGGCTTCCTGCTTGCCACCTTAGGAGGCTGGGTGCCGGCCTGTGCCACATTCCTGCACAGAGGAGCAGGGAGTTCCTAAAAGCTGGCTCCCAAGAAGAAACCCCACTTTTCCGCCTGTAACATACCAGGCTTGCCTGGATGAGCATAGTCCTTTTTTCTTGGTTTGGAAAAAAGTGAGTTATAAATAGGTGAAAACTACAAGTCCTAGAAAATAAAGTGGTGAGCACACACTGAGCACACACTGAGCACACACTGAGCAGCGCTGCACAAAAGGAGTGAGTCCCACCTTAAGTGCCGGTTCAGCTCTTCCACATAATTTTTTTGATCAAGGACGTCGGTAATTCTTTCCTGCCTTATAAAAACAGCAGAGAAAAGGAGAAAGTTTTTAAGTTCACGGTTAAGACTATTAACTACTCAGCCATTTTTTGGCTGCCTGGTAGGAGCAGCAGTGTTCACTGCCTGGCAATGTCCAGAGCACCCTGCAGTGGGCAGGGTGCAAGGCTGGCCTGCTGGGGGCTTGGTGGTGGCACCCAAGGGGTGCCCTGGAGCACAGGTTCTGGATGAGGAGGGGACTATGGGCACACACAGGGAGCACAGCCTGCTGCACAAACCACTGGCAAGAGGCCTCTGGCCCTTACTACTGCATGGAAAGAAAGGGGTCCACTCACTCCAGAGAGGACCAAGAGACTTCAAAACACAAAGCTGAACAGTCTAAAAGCCAGAGTTCAGACTTTTAACATTTACCAGGCAGGCCCTTCCTGTAACTTCTTTCCTTTTCCTTTTTTGCGTCAAGAGCCTCACTATGTAGTCCAGGCTGGTCTTGAGCTCACTATGTAGCCTAGATTAGCCTTGAACTCGTGACGATCCTCCTGCCTCAGCTTCTCCAGGGCTGGGATTTCGGGCATGCTCCACCATCTCTGCTTCTCCCTAGTTTGTAAACCTTACATTTGCAATTTACAGAAATGGGATCATCCTATCCAATTCATGCTGTAGTTGACCGATTTATTCTTTTTTTTTTTTTTTTAAATTTAGAACAGGGTGTACGGGGTCTCACTGCATAGATCGGACTCATAGTGATCCTCTGTGTACAGCCTCCCAAGAGTTGGGATTACAGGCATGCCGGCTCAGCAAATCCTGGGGGCGGGGCGGGGCGGGGCGGGGCGGGGCCGGCGTGGTACAGCAGGCTTGGGGATCCAACTCCTGGTCCCTGTGTCTGCCTAAGCGGGCGCTTTTATCCGCTGAGCGCCAGCCCTGGATTTATTCTTTATCTTTATATTTTGAGACAGGGCCTTGGCAAGTCGTTGGGCTATCCAGCATGGCCTTGAACTCATTCACAATCCTTTTCCCTCAGCCTCCTGAGAAGCTAAGTTTACAGGCATTCACAATTTTTCTATGAAGTTCCTTTTTTCCATTTGTTCTACCTTTTACATAGCTCTCGTAGGCCACTCAATATTAATATGCATAACAGTCATAATTAAAATATGAAATAGATATCAGAGAGTTCTGAAAGCAAAAATTCTTTGCCACAACTTCATTAAAATGGAAAAGAACAACAGTATACTGTGTAGTACTTACTCTTTGCCACCACCAAGATCCTGCACATCTTTAAGGTAGAGGGAGAAATCAATTACTCCAACCTGACAGAAATGAAATGAACAGGTTTAGTAAAAGACAACACTTCTCATTTTCTACAAGCCTCACAATTCAGGTACTCAATATCAGTGCTGTGTCCAAAGGAGCACACTGTTTACACCGAGCCACAACGTTCTCTGGGTACAAACTAATTTAAAGAGAGAAACTTAGATCTTTAGACTAAAGTGGTGACACGTCCGAGTCCTCCTTTACTCAGATTTTGGAGATGACCTAGTTTGTTTCCCAGGGAAAATTCTGTCACTGCAGGACTCAGGGAAGACAAACTTCTCACTCATCTCAGCATCAAGGGTTTCCTCTGCTCCAAAGGGAGATGGCTTGAAGAAATAAAGCTCGTGGGAGTAGGAGAAACCAGTCCTATCTGAGACCTCAGAGCACAGCGTGCAATGTCCATGTACGAGGGACATTTGAAACACTCACGTTACGCCGCTTACGCAGAACCGTAACAAAGGATGTGGCAGACTGATGCACAAGAACATGAATAAAAGCCCAGGACACAATCTGAAGTTAAAGAACAGTACGTAGAGCACTGGCCTCATAAGAGTAACTCTGTGTGCACACCGAAGCTGTGGGACGATTTTCACTTTAAGACATGACTGCACTTTCTCCAACCTCTATCTTCCACCAACAAAATCAATCTGTTTTTAATCCTGTCTTGGATGGCCTTAGTTCTAGTTTTGTTACATAAATGCAAAAGAGACAATACTATGTGACTTGTGGCTTCCACCTGGCTCTTTTTCTGGGGACATGTGCTTTGATGTTACACGCGGTAGAGCCTGTGGGAGGGCCACACAGAGCCAGAGATGCTGAGAAGCCCCCCAGGCCGAGCCTGGGCTCAGCCCTGAGCACAGGTGCAGCAGAGCTTTAGTGACCCTGGCCTCATCACCATCTGCCTGGGACCAGCCGCACGCTGGAACTGTGACAGCCACCTTCCCAGAACTCAGTCCACCCAACTGTTAAGAGACATGGTGGCTGCCACTGTTCAGGTGACTGCTGATTTCTTTTTTCTTTCTTTCTTTTTTTTATTGGCAGAACTGGGCATTGAGCGCAGGCCCTTGCACTTGCCAGGGAAGCGCTTATTCCACTGAGCCAGCTCCCCGGCCCCTGACTGCTGATTTCTTACACAGCAACAGAGAACCAGAAAAGGACCAGCTTCAAACAGAAGCTATATACGTACAAATGCAGGGAAGCCGAAAATCGCTATCTTCCCTGAGGGGAAGAAGGTACCCAGAGAGGGGCCTTCGGGAACCAGGAACAACAGTAGTGTAAGCATGGGTCAAAGCAGTGAAAGGTGTACAAGGAAGATTAGCGGTGTTAAGTACTGACAGACTTTAAATGCAGTTCTTACAGATACAAGAGAAAACTACGGAAACCAGAGGAGAGAACAGCATACTGAAATTTAGCTGGAAGAGACTACCTGTTTACTGAAAGTAATCCAAACAAAGGAAATCTCATTTAGAAAAGAATGTGCTGCTCTTCATGGTATGACAAAAGGTAAACAACAGACCACTGAATATCAGCACAATTTGAAAGGTGAAACTGAACAACTAAAAAGAAATGCTGAATGACAAAGGCAAAGCTAAAATCTCAAGAACAGGAACATAAGAATAGTATCACCAAACTTGCACATGAAATGAAAATCAAAGAGGAGGAACATAAGACAGAAATAAACAGACTTTATATCAAGAGATGCAGAAAAAAGGTTGAACTAAATGAAGGAAAGCACAAAGATCTAATAAAGAAAAAGGAAATAGAAATTTCAGAGTTAAATGCAAAGTTAGCAACTCAAGAAAAGGGAAAGTAAGGGCTGGCGAGATAGCTCAGACTGAGCACCTGCTCTGGCAACTGCAGGGACCAGGGTTCAATCCCCGGTCCTGTCTGCAGCACTGGCTGCTCCCAGGGTGCACTGAGCTGGCCAATAAGTCCAGGAGTGGTGGTGCATGCTTGTAATCCCAGTGCTGGCGAGGCAGAAAACAGGAGGATTACTATGAGTCCAAGCTGTGTAGTGAGACCTTATTCCAAATATATAAATAGAAAAAAAAAAAAAAGGAAAATGAAATAATCAAACTACAGCTGGAATTTGATGCTAAGCTAGCAAGAGTTCAGACTAAATTAAAACTCCATCAAGAGGCTATTTCCCCACAGAGTATGTACAGAAGGAAGCTTCAACATCTTCAGAAAACAAAACAAGGGCAGGCCAGATAGCTCAGCAGACTAAATGCCTGTGTAGGCAGGCACAGGGACAGGCACCGCGTGGGGCACCAGCCCCGCCCCTGCAACGCTAAACTGAGCCTGGGCGCACGGCACACACCAGCAATCCCAGTCCCAAGCTGGGGAGGGAGACCTTGCACCAAATACACACCCACACACACACACCCACACCCACACCCACAAACCAAACCAATAAGGAATTGCAATTTTTCCTAATATTATTCATGATTTGCAGCAGCATTTCCACCAGTAAAGATTTTAACTTCAAGCATAGACCATTTTGAGTGTAACAGTAAATTCATTAATTACTATTTACTTTTTTTTTAATATTTATTTATTTATTTATTTAACTTCAAGCATAGACCATTTTGAGTGTAACAGTAAATTCATTAATTACTATTTACTTTTTTTTTAATATTTATTTATTTATTTATTTATTTATTTATTTATTTATTTTTTGTGTGTGGCCAGCTCTGCCCACCAGGGGGCGGGGCTGGCTGGCATGTGGTGCTGGGGGATTGAACTGCGGTCCCTGTGTTTTGCTTAGCTTAGCTTGTTCTAAGTAGGTGCTTTAGACCACTGAGCCATCTCACCAGCCTACTATTTACTTTTTAAAGAGCAGTTTAAAAAGTCACTTCTATTTTCAACAAAAGCCTAAATAATAAGAAAGAAACAGCTCTAAAGAAAAGGAAAGAAAAAGTTAAGGGGACAGGAAGCTTGGGCTTCATTTGTCACTGTGCACACCTCTATCACCTAGGTGTTTAACAAACATGCATTGCTTATGTAATAAAAAATAATAACAATAAAAATATATTCAATAGGGAAAAAACAATAGGGGAAGAATTAATACCTGAGGCAGGTACTGATTACTAAGAAAGCAAAGCAGGAGCTGCTCCTGTATTTGGCGCATATGCTGCCCAAGCGTGCACCGTGCCCTGTGACTATGGCAGAAGAGACAGTCTGGATCAATCTCTACAAGCACGGGCAGTGTACAAGAAATACAAGTATTACAAACAAGAGTGGTAAGATTTTAAAAAGCTATGACAACAGTGTCATATAACTTTAGTTTATAGTAGCTGAATGAAATGATTTCCAAGGAAATAGAAATGACTAAAAAATTATACTAGGAGTTGGAAAATCAATACATTGACCAAAAAATAAGCAGAAAATTACAGTGAAGATGGACATGGTGGTACATGCCTATAATCCCTGCACTTGGGGGGGCTGAGGCAAGGGGACCACTGCAAACTCAAAGCAAACTGACGAATTCAAGGTTAGCCTGACTCAAAACAAAACAAAGGGGCCAGGGAGATAGCTCAGTAGAATAAGTGCTTGCCTGGCAAGCGCAAGGGCCTGAGTTCAATCCCTGGTTCTGCAAAAAACCAAACCAAAACAAAACCCAACCCAACAAATTAAAGTAATCAAAAAAGTAGCAGGCCTAAAAAAGGTATAAGGCTGTCATGGTCATACAGTAAGTTCTAGTAAAATTTGAAAAAAAAAAATCTGTTCTAACAAGGAAAGAAACAATATCCTCTGTTTATTAAGAGTCTCATGTACATAATCCCGACCCTGAAAGGTGGTGAGGCAGTAAAGGAAACCTGGGACAGTTTCACGTCTGGGCAGAGATGCAGAAATGCCAGGTAATCATAGCATGACCAGTACGTGATGAGCAAGCTGTGCTCGTTCTAGGAATGCCTGGATGATATTTTAATGGGAATCCACAAATTTACCCAGTTATCACCTGAAAAGAGACATATCCCAAAAGATGTCAAAGAAGGTATTTGCCCTCACTGTGTGTTCACTTCTGCTGAAAGCACACGGACACAGAAGAGCACACTTCTTCAGCATGAAAAAGAGTGTCCTCAGTCACCAACAGTGACACAGACCCAGCACTGCCTTTTGGTAAGAGCTTAGGGTGCAACACAGCTATCATTTATATAATCTCAGTGGACTTCTATCTTGGAGTTTGACAAATGACACCCAAATCCCCCAGGCAGAACAAACAGCCCCAGAGCCTAAGAAGAGGTGTAGCAGCACTGCAGAGGCCAGATGCCAGAGTGACAAGTACCAGTGACAAAGAAGGGCTGTGGGAACACAGGTCAGGAGCAACCCTGGCAGGCTGTGGACAGTGCATGTGTGACAAAAGGACTAAATAGATGATTCTGAGAAAATTGGTTTATTTTTTGTGAATCTAGATTCTATTCCATACTATATCAAAACTAATGATAGATTTCTAATTTAAAAAAATATATATTATTTTAGGGAAGGGTCTACAGGGTGTTCAGGGTCTCACTACTAGATCAGACTTATAGTGATCCACCTGTTTACAGCCTCCTAAGAGCTGGGGTGGGTGGGCGGGGCCAGCAAGGCAGGCCTGGGATCGAACCCCTGGCCCCTGTGCCTGCTTGCAGGCACTTTAATCCGCTGAGCTATTTGGCCGGCCCTGAAGTTGAGAAAGACTTTTTTTGGCTGGTTCAGGCTGCTGAAAGGGGGGTCTGGTGTGGCATGCAGTCCCCCGCGCTTGACTGGGTTTACCCATGCAGCCGCTTAAATAACTGAGCTAACCAGCAAGCCCCCAAATAGTTAAGGACATTAGAAGAGCTTTATTTATTTATTTATTTATTTATTTATTTATTTATTTAGCGGTACCGGGGATTGAACTCATGACCTTGCACTTGACAGGTAAGCGCTT